TATTGTAGTTTATTTGCTTAAAATAGAAAGTGCTCATGTCATATAGTCATTGTGCTAGGTCAGGAAGCGTGAGATGAACGACTATCTCTGCTCAACAAAGTTGATCATACAGTTCGATTTTTTCATTTTTCACATAGCAGGCTTTGGTCTTAATTTGGAAAACGAGCGTATTTTGTGCAGTTTTTCTTACTCTTTTCACTGATGCGTATTGAAGAATTTCAAACGAAAGAGCGGAGAAAATGCAGATGAAAAGTACATGAGTAATGTTGATTTTTAAATTTTATCCAAAAACATAAATAATGTTTTAATGCCTATGTGAGACCATTAGTTAAAGACATACACAAGTACGCTGTTATCTTAAATTAATTCCTAGTTTATAGAAAATCGCCGGGAATTTTCTAGTTTATAGAAATTCCTCGTCGAATTTCCGGCTTTCTAGAAAACATTGATTTTCTACTTTATAGGAAATCGACTTGAATTTCCATAAATTCGATTTTCTATCAATTATATCTATAATAATCTATCTATAATAATTTCCATGAATCTGGAAATTCGATTCTGATTTTCTACGTACTGGAAAATCGCCGGAGATTTTCTAGTTTATAGAAAATCATCAGCGATCTCCACCTTTATAGAAAGTCGATTTTCTAGAAAGTGGAAATTCGCCCAGGAATTTCTAGACCAAATATTGTATTCATTATTATTCATCTTTTTGTTTTTCAATCAGTGTATGTATAAGAGCGTCACGTGAAGACACTCATATTACACTTAAATCAGTTTTGACAGTTTCCACTTCAGATCACAATTCTGTCTATGCAAGCAAGAATTTTGATTTAGACAGAGATAGTAGGGGCACGAAGTTTCGGTAGGAAGGTCCCTAAATCGTAGACGTTCACCAGAAATTTCTGAAAAGCATGAGGGGGCGGAGTCAACCCTAATACAACCTGGTCGCGCCGCCACTCGGTGCAGACCCGCCAAGGAATTTTCAGTTTACAGAAAATCAAAAAAAATTTTTACTTTCTTGGAAATTATTTATAGAAATTCAACGACGATTTTCTAGATAGTTGGAAATTCGATTTTCTATAAACTGGAAAGTCCTCGAGGAATTCCTATAGGTACTCTTTGAAATTCGCCGAGCATTTTCCGTAAATAATTTCCAATCTCACAGTGTAGTCTATGTGCATATTGATTTTAAGTTTAGAGAAAAATTTATAGTAGAAAGATACATTTCATTAAGAATGTATGTACCGATACAAATACTCAGGGAAAAATTAGTTTGTGGATTTCCCAATTGAGTCTCACAAGTTCGTCTAGAGAAGCCCTGAAGCGTCCAATCTAAGAAAAGTATTTGAAGCTATAAAAATAGACAGTGATTATTGAAACTTCATGGCTACTCTTCCAATAGTGCCACGGTATATCAGAAAAAAATTATTGGGACACATCGCAGTACATCTTTAAATTATATCACGATACATAACGATAGAAGAATACTGTAGTACAGTAAATATCGTGTTACGACAACACAATCGCGTTTCCGCTATAAAAGTAATTATTGTGATAGTATGCAAAGAAGGCTACGAAACCTTATAGATTTTGTTATCAGAAAAGTCACATTTCTTCGGAAGCAACAATTAACTGTTTTTTTTATTTCTGATTGAAAAAGCAACAAATATATCGTGCAAGAGTCCTTTTTTGATTCTCATGACACTAATAACATTTGAACAAGTCAATAGTTTCAACTAAAAAGCATAACAGTTGCTTATGCCCTAGTGAAAGTACTCTTACGGTTAGTACTAAATACTAAAGATTTTTTCGATGAGTACTAAAGTTAGTACTAACGAGAATTTTTTACTATACATACTCATTTAGTACTAACTTAGTGCTACTGTTAGAACCGTAAAAAAGACTTACTAAAATTTTTTGCGATGAGTACTAAAATTAGTACTAACGGATTATAACTAATCATTCACCGTTTTGTTTTGCAGTCAGCCCAGTATATAAGCACAATCGAAATATCCAAGAAATATCATTTTTTTTCGTTGTTTTTCAGTTTTGTACTTCCATTCCTTTAGACTTCAAAAATCTAAATAAAAATGTTAAGCTATTAGCGGCACCCTCGCACGAAAGTGATAATCTGACGTTTGAAATAGCGCTGTTTGACCTCATTTGTATGCTTCCTGTTGCTTTAGCGTTTTCAGCAGAGCCGCACCTTTCAATCAGAAATCACATATTAATACTACCGTTGGTATTTATCAAAAATATGCAAAATGAGTATTAATCAAAAACTAAAAATACTAATGGTAGTAGTAAAAAATTACTACAACACTGCCGCATGATTGCTAACGTTAATAAATTACTAATGTTAGTACTAAAATACTAGCGATTTTTTATATATGTATATTAATCGTTGCATTACTAACGGTGAGGGCTAAAGTTAGTACTTGCACTAGGGTAATGACTTATATTCTGTAGAGTTTATTTATCGTGTAACAGATCAGTCACACTATATATAAAAAGGTTTTCTAAAAGATCTTTCTCTAACTGTGTGGAAAGATATATGTAACTCTAAACAAGTAAATTACATTACTATTTAACTTGCAGACAATTAATACAAAAAAATGGAAATCTTTCATTGTTGCACATCAAAAACCAAAAACAGTTCGCGATACAGACAACGCTTTCTCACTAAACATGACACTTACAATACAGTACTGCCTGACATAAGATCGACTATACTCGCCATCTGTCAAATAAGGAGAACAGTGCGCTTCTTGATGGAAGAAAAAGAAACCAGTGAAAAATAGGATGCATATTTTGCAGATTAAAACATTTCTAAAGAAAGAGAGAGAGAGAAAGATGAGGAAAAGCGTGTTCATTTTCTGATTTTTACTCATAAATAGTTGAATGAATCATACAAAAAAAATTGAGATTAGTCATTAGTCATGAATCACCATTGTCTACTGCATAGGTTTCCAGTGGTAGATTAAGGAGCCTCGCATCACAAAAAGGCTTAGGCCAATTAGTTAAGTTGATCGTGATCTAAGATTAAGAGGTACTTAAGTTTGTATACTTGACTTAGTTGAAACTCTGTAAAAAGCAAGTTTCAAGAACTTATTGACAGTACCGGCAGAATTTAGTTAAAAAATGGATCATAATAGTGCACCTCTTCTGCATATATTACTGGAAAACTTTGTTCGCGTCATACACACAATTCGTGGGATATCGGCATAAATGTAACAGATACTTAGATTAGTTATTGCCAATTTAAGAGTACTTAAATTTATCTTCATTTCAAATTCATCTAATCATTAAGATATGGCTTAGAATAATTAGGAATTTTTTTTTTGGTATATGCGGAACATCAGAAAGCTATGGTGTGCGTGGGTTGACTATAGAAGAAAAAGGAGTTTTCCTCAGAAGTTCTGCTAGGAAAAAACTAACGTTTTTTCTCCCTCTGCTGTATGTACAACATGCTTTCTGCTGAGTCTGCCACTGCAAGTTCGGAATTTCTAGAAACTTCGATAATGTTGTCAGGTAGAATAGTTAAAATACCTGCGATCGCTTAGTGAAGTGCTTTTCTATGTGTTACGTTTTGGTTTTCATCGTTGCGGCTCCATGGAGTATATGAAAATAAGATAGAGTTTTACTGATAAGAATTTAAAAAAAAACTCCCGCTTACTTTATGTATCCAACAGAACAAATTCTACTCGTGTAGAAATGCAGTAAAATATCGAAAAAACGAAAACCCAAACCTTAAGTGTTTTGAGCAGTCGTCATCTATTTAGTGGTATATAAATCACTGGGAATTGATTCATAAACAAAGTACAAAATGTTGATTGTACTTTTATCGTCTCCAACTTTGACGTCATTTCTTCCGAAAATTAGAAATTCCTATATATATTTTTGATATATATGTCATTAAATCTTCATTAAGTCTTTCAAATTTGAGATACAGATCAGTTATAATTGAGAGTCCATGAGGAGGGAGAAATGGCAATATTTAGTGCTAGTGTAAGTATTGCTTAATCCACTAATATTAAAGGATGAGTTTTGACGAGTGGTACTTGAATGAAACTTAAAATAATCTTCTAGTAATAAGTCACAAGAGGAAACGCTAGAAGAATAGAATACTTAAAAACCTTGATTATTTTGGATGCATTACTTTATTCAATTGATAAAATTAAATAAATTCAACTGACAAGGTTCCTATTTTACTACTTCTAGCTGTAATGACCCTGACATTAGAAATAGAACACAAAAAAAGAGATCTGTTATACATGTAAATATATACATCTATAAATGTGTATCGTGTGTATTTATAGTCGGAGAACAAGAAAAATTCTTCCTTTATTTGTTGAAAATAGATGTTATATACTGATGATTTGATTGCTATACTCGTTTTTTCTACTTACTTTGTCACAATGAACTAAATGGAGTATTGAAGATTTATTAATTCGATTCTCTCTACCTTACAATTGTTTGTTCAACATCAACAACTCAATATCTCCTTTGTATATAACGACTGAACTACTGTTTGTGTACAGCAGAAGCACATGAAGAAAAAATATTTGGAAAGTAAATTGATAGAAATCTGTTTCTCACATGTGTAACAAGTAAACCTTCTTTAACACCGTATGAGAATTGTGTGGTAAAGAAGTGATTATTTTTTACATCCCTTTTACTCATTCTATCGTATAATTCAAAAAAATAAAAAATGTGAGTTTCAGATTAACTTGTACTATCTAAGACTCCAATGAGAAACAAAATGCCCATAATAGACGGCAGTCTTCTTCTTTTTTTTTTTGTCCTAGATAGAACATTTAGTCTCCAAAGAGCATTTGAACCATACTATCTGCGATTTACTTCTTTCAACTTAAATACTATTAAACTACATTGTTTTTCTCTCAGAGTTTCTAGAAACATATTCAACAAAATGGGAACAAACAAATGAATACTGTCTGAAATCATTTCATTGTTCTGAATGTATTAGAGAATCAACAATGGAATCGGATTCAACTCTACCAAAAATCGAATATACCTATCATTTGTTTAATGAAAATGACTTTATGTTTTCATCATCGGCAACAACAACGGAATCAGTTTATCAAGATGACGATAGTCCGTTACATCAAATCAATGAAGAATCGATTGCTCAAGATATAGAGAAAAATAAAGAATGTAAGTGGCACGTTATCTCTGCAAAAATCAAATATAATAAAAATACATTCATTTTTATTTTTATTTAGCTTTAAAACGAAAACTACAACAACGTCGATCGATGAAACAACTTGCTGATATTGGCATAATGCCACCACCAAAAGCTCCACCACCATTTTATGAACAACGAAAAAAATTACAAATGAGAAAAGTTAGCTATTTTGAAAGATCAATTATTATTTTTACTAGTTTTTCTCTATTGATCTATTTTTTTAGACACAAGATATATTGAAAAATAAAATTGTTACTCGACCAGATCGACAGTTACTTATTGAACATAATATATTGTCAGGTATAATCATCATACCTTAGATGATTTTACAACACTATGTTTTTCATACATTGTTTTAGATACAAATGTTGCGCCAGCTATACAGAATAAACAACGACAATTAAAACGCGCAAAATTAGCCGATGATCTCAATGATAAATTAGCACAAAGACCAGGACCTTTAGATTTGATTGAAAATAATATATTACAATTTGATAATACAAACATTAAACAAGCAATACAAGGTAATAGAATAATGATGATGGCTCTGAAGCTTTTTTCTACTGTTATTCTTTTATTTTTTTCTAGGTGGATTAATCAAATTTCCTAAATCAACTAATGTACACTTTTCCAAAAATCCATATTCATTCGATGAGACAATATTTAATATTTCTCCTGGAACCATATTAACAACTGTTTATACTTCGTCGTCGCCGTCATCAACATCGTCCGGTTTCGAAGAACAAACTTCGTTCTCCGATTCGTCATCATCCTCTTGCTCATCCACCGTTTCGTATCAGACAATCAAAACATCTAAATTACCGTCAAAACGTGCACAAAAAGGCAATTTAATATTTCATGAATATAAGGGACCATCACAGAAAGCAGAAATCACCAAACTTCCGCCTGCTCCTTCTCTGCCTGCCGTAGCATTGCCAACGGTGATTCCTACTGAAGAAACAGCGAATGGAGATCATTATAAAATTCGTTTACAACAACAACAGTTATTTCTCGACTTAATTGATGTGCCAGATACGAAGCCATCAATCGATGATCCTATTGTTTCTTTACTTCAACAACCGATTCATTCTTCACTATTACCCCCAACAACAATCAACGTTTCTGCATTGGCAAGCACATTAGCTCCATCACCATCACCACCATTATCGGTACAAAATGATGGTTTAGACGAAATGAAATTGATTGACCTTCGAAATGAATGCAAAAAACTCAACATCACAACAAGTGGAAATAAAACACAATTGATAACGAAGATAAAAAATGCAATAAATAAAAAAGCAATTGATATTTCTAACAGTTGTATAGCATTTGACCCCACATTGCATTCATCAGTTAACCCAGTAACGGCATCAGGTAGTACACGCTTCATTTTTTAATGAAAATTTGATTTGTTTCGAATCATCTAGCGTTATTTGTCTTTCGCTGCTAACTGAGATAAAAACTATATTTGTCTATACTCCGCTAGAAAACTGTTTACATAATTCGAACTATGTCTTTAATCTGTCAAATTCGTTTAGATATTGCAAATCCAATTCAACGTTCGGTAACATCGTTTAGTTTCCAACCTAGTCAGCAGACATGTGTCATATCACCAAATCCAGTTAACCATGCATCGACTGCAATTCCGTTGACGATTAGACCAACTATCAAATCACAAACGATAACCATTCCATTAGAGACTATTGAACAACAACAACAACAACAACTACAACAACAGCAGCAACGATTGAAAAAAGACAACTCTTCCGTTAATTTATTGTGTATGTATTCTTTGTTTCCGTTATATCCTTGTCTGTTATTTTCGTTTTTGTGTGTAGTGTCAACATCGCTATTGAGCCATGAAGAATTATATTTACAACAACAGCAAAAAATAACCGAATTAGAAAATGAGTTACAAAAATTAAAGAAGCTTGATCAAACACAGCAACAACAAGAACAAGGTAAACCTTAGTTTCATTCCTATAGATTTGACACTATTAGTAACTTGTTTTCTTTTTCAGTAACAGCCAATGTTATGAACCTCCATCAACAATATGTTCAAGTTCCCATACAACAGGTGTGTGTGCGAAAAAAATACTCTCTTCTTTTTCACACTATTTGTTTATTTTTAGCCTACACCAAAATGTTCTCCAATTTTATCTGTTCAAATACAAAAACGTATACTAATGCAACAACAAGAACGATTAAAACAAAAACTTGAAGCGAATCAAACTAAACAATCTGTTCATCTATTACCAATAAATCAAACAAATAATCATCAAATAACCCTGTCAACCGAACTCATGGCAGCATTGGTAGCTGCGAATAATAACAATATACAAACAATAAATGCTACTAAACCAACGCTTATTACACAAACATCAACGCCAACATATAAAAAAGTAGCAGCCATAAAAGTGAAACATGAAAGAAGAAAAACCATACCAAATTTAAAATCAAACGATACAAAGAGTATGTCTTGCTCAAAATATGATAGAATATTTATTTATATAGATAATACGAGATAAGTCATCTTTATCATTATGAAAATAAATTATTTTGCATTAGAGACGGTTCATCTTTATTCAAACAGCATCATTACTTCAAATAGTTTGTTTTCATAATGATAAAGATGACTTATCTCGTATTATCTGTTTTAAAATTCTTCACCCTAAAAAATGACTCAATATTCATGTATATATTGTTTTTTGTCTAGTTTTTCCGCATTCATTCGAAGAAACATTAACGAGCAAACAAACGTAGGTTTAAAAAATCTTATTTGTATTATATAAACTATGGTGACTGAATGTGATTTTATTTCGTATTTTAGAGATACTCCACAATTCGAGCAAAAAAATATTATCTTTGACTCAGCATCATTTTGGTCTTCAAACAATGTATCAGCAGTAAATCCTATACAAGATAGTACATTTTTTCTTCAACAAAACGGAACAAAAGTATGAATAAATATATGGCGAAAAAAACAAACTAATTCTGAATAAACATTTCCTTTTGCGTTTTAGATTGAAAATAATCAAACAGAGATTGAAGATGATATATTAAACTTACTAAATGACTATAGAGGTAACTGCCGTCTTTCTTTTTTTCCATAAACATAAATTTTAAATAGAAAAAACCTTTTCATTAATATGAACTTTTAGTTATCGAATAATTTCATACAAATTTCGAATGAAGAGAGATAGATCTATGCAGAAAAATTGCTATTGAATAGATTTAAAAAAAATTGTGTTTTTCTACTGTATTTCAGAAACATCTATTCATTCAATGTCACCTGATACATCGCCACCATCTTCGTTTACGAATCCAATCGTCGTAACAAATTCCTCCTCCTCATTACCATCTATCAGCAGTTTTATTCCAATTAATTCCTCTTCTTCTTTGACGTTACCAACTCCATTTTATGACACTTATACTTCATCGAGTAATGATATGGAATGGCTATCACCAATCACAAATGATCAAGAACAAAATATTCAGACAGATTTTTCTGAATTTTTAGATCAATTTGACAACAATACAAATAATGTATTTGAACCTTCCGCTAATAATTATTTTGAACAATGCGATCAGACGGAATATTTCTCGTCTAATAATTGTTCAACGATACCTCAAATTGATTTTTTATCTTCATCAATGACATGATGTGATAGTTTTCGTTATTTTTTTGTAAATACTTCTTTTCTACTATGCAATATGATCAAATCTCTTTAGTTTAATTGTTATCTAAATTTTGTTTTTTTTACTGAATTGAAAAGATAGAATAAATCGATTACAGTGAATGAACAAATCATGTTTCTAAATCTGTCATCATCAAAAGGTAGATTCGAAACGAGAATAAAGAGCAGTTAGTGACTAGCTGTTGGAAAAGATCTTTCATCCAGGAATATATCTCATTTATCTTCATTTGGCTGACAAGCGTATGCTTGCGATAATCTTAGGTGAGGAGATGAAAACTCGCTCGGTAAACATGTTGGATCCAATGGTTTACCAACATGGAAAAATTTCTGTTATATCTGGAAACAATTATAATAATAATAATAATTTACATATTGACTAAGCTCTGCTTTACTTAAAGTTTATAAAAACTCATAATGAATCAACTGTGTTTTAATAAGCTTGGACCCGTTATCATTTGACAAATTTGTGATTTTAATACATGTAACGGATGTGTTGGTAAACAACCTCATTATTCATGCTGTATGTGCTGAAAATCTGAAAGACTTCACATTTTCTTATATCGTGATATTTGAGAAAAGTCTTATCATATTCCCAATCTATTCTTGTCTTAGTTAATATCTTAGGAGTCGAATGAGAGAGTTGTTTCTTCAAATAACAATTTATATTTAATAAAAATCAAACC